ATAATTATGTATATAAAACAATGAGAAAAATCAATAATTTTCAAAAGAAACCCTTAAGTTTTTAAGGAAGTCAAACACTGTTGACAGAATGTCTTATCGACATGTTAAAATTCACAGTGCTCAACATATTATAATTATATCTTTATATCTTAATGCGTCTTATTAGAATTGTTTTAAACACTTGAAAAGACCTAAACTTAAAGTCCAAACGTAGTGTACTTCATATCTAATAAAGAAGAATAATATCAACAAGAGCCAGTATGGTCGAATTAATCATTAATTTTCTTATTAATATTTTTTAAATGTATGCTTTATTTTTCTTTTTCTGAGATTTTGTTGCATGATATAATTATACTTATGCCAAATATTTACGTATATGAATAACTTTTTTTATATCAATTTATGTAGATAGATATTAAAAATTAGAAATTAAAAAAAATAAACGTATAGTACAAAAAAGAGTGATATCTCTAAAAAAATTACCTATTTAAAAAAAGGTAAAAAAAAGGTGCTAAGTCCGCGTAACGTCCCTGTAAAAACCTATCCTACTAAATATAATAATATAATTTTATTTAATTAACCAAAAAAATTATATAAAATAATTTTTTAATTTCCTGCATCCTACAAAAAATAATATTAAAAATTTGCAATAATTAAAAAAATTAAAAATAAAAATAAATAAAAATTAAAAATTTTTTTTAATTATATAGAAATTAAAAATTAAAAAAAGTAAAAAATAAAATTATTTGTTAAATTAAAAATTAAAAAAACTTTGCACTGCGTAATTAACACAACAATATGTTAAAATTAATATATTTTTTCGCTTGAATGTCTTTCAATTAAAGTTTAGCAGTTGCTAGCTTTTTTAATTTTTTAATTTAAAAAAAATTTCATTTTTTAATGTTTTTTAATTTTTAATTTTTATATAATTTTCAAAAAAATTTTTTTATTTCTATTTTTCTTTATTTTTATTTTTTTAATTATTGCAAATTTTTAATATTATTTTTTGTAGAATGTAGAAAATTAAAAAATATTTTATATAACTTTTTTGATTAATTAAGAAAATTAAATATTTTAAAAAGTTTTTATTTTTACTTAGCATAATTTTTTTATATTATTAATTTTTGTAGGATAAGTTTTTACAGGAACGTTACGCGGACTTAGCACCTTTTTTTTACCTTTTTTAAGAAAATATTTTTGTAGGTTGCGTATACCTCTGATAGAATTGGGAATTTTCAATGAACTGTTAATTTGTGAAGTAGAAGGCCACATATGATTATCACCATCCAAATTAAAAGAGTAATGTTGATTTTGAACAACAAATAAATTTATTATTCGATAATCTGGATAAGTCTATAACAAAAATAATTAATATGTCGATATAACCGTTCTTAAGGTACTTGCTTTAAATACTAATATTAATTTTATTAAAGTTTTTTCATTGTTAAAATGAAACACTTTTCTATTTTAGAAAACACACAAAATAAATATAATAATGAAATCTAAAATTTTGTCTTAATATAATTACCAAATATTACATATTTTTTAAATTATTGTCTCATGATATTATATTGCAGACATCTCTTTATCAAATATATTTAAATCAATATTATGTGTATCAGGTATTGATTAATTTATCTTATTTTAGATTTTATAAAAATTTAAAAATATTCAATTAATAAAGTGGTGTTAAAAAATAAAATTTTTAATAATTTAAATTATAAATATATGTAAGTAAATATGTAAAAAATGTATTTTGTATTACACGTGCAGGCAAAGTGGCACTTTGTGTGCGTGTTTTCTATGCGGCAAGCCGCCAATTTCCCACGCCGCCATCTAGCGGCGACGCGGTGAGTGAATAAGCCGCATTCAAAGCCATTGCTTACGGCTCAACCGCGTTAAAAGTCATTGTATACGGCTGAAGCCGTGAGCAATGACTTTGAACGCGGCTATTCCCGCACCGTGCCGTCGCAAGATGGCGGCGTGCAATCGGCCACCTCGCGCACAGAAAACGCGCACAAAGCCACTTTGCCTGCACTTGTAATACAAAATATCGTGTGTATCAAGTGCGGATTGACAATTGTTCACTCGTGTGGGGTGGTCGCACTCGCCTTCGCCTCGTGCGTCCATCCCCCGCACTCGTGACCAATTGTCAACTTTCCGCACTTGATACACAATATACTATTTTTTTAAACTGTTGATTATTTTATATAATGTTAAATGTTTTAAAACAATTCACAAAGAATGTGTATGGATTTTATAAAAAGGGTTTGATTTAAGAAAATTTTGCAATATTAATACATAAATATTGTTTCGTTTGCGAGAAGGTGGGAGCGAGATAGCGTTGAAAATATTTAGAATAACCTCATTGACAGCATACGTTGCAAGCAATGTAATAAGACCTTGTTTAAACCAAAAATCCGACACTGACGGATTGTTCATCATGTTATTAAACCATTGTTGTGTCACTTTACGTCCTACTAATTGAGCTACTTCGATTTTGTGAGCAATAGAATATAAATTTTTATTGTAGATGATATCTGTTTCTCTGAAAGTTATATTTAAATGTTAAGACTGTGAATTTTATAGGAAATAAAACTTTATTTTTGTTACAATATTATAATTTCATTGTTAGGTGTACGATTTAGAAACTCATGGGTACATTTTAGCAAATCAGTATTGTAAATCGTACCAAATAATTTTGTTTAATTTTTAATTTACATTATGAAACAACGATAAATTTTGAGAAATATGTATATCGTTGACAAAGAATAATATTTTGAAATAAATAAAAAAAGTGTCACTTGTTTTATAATTTTATTGCAGTTTTAACATCTACCCTACGTATGATTTAGCATACATACTTTCTCCTTTATGTACGTATTAAAAGAGTAAACTTTAACTTTTTAATAATATAAATAAACTTAATTCTACTAAAATTTTTTATTTTTGTAAGTTCTTATAATTTTAAACGTTTACAGAAACGAAATATATACCTATTTTTAAATTTTATAATTATACATTCTAATATAATTTTATTTTTAATGCAATTTTTAAGCATTTATACTCACCTATAAAGAACGAGTCCGAAAACTATTGTGCCTTTGTCATGGAAATTTGGAATTGCAACATGAGACACCATCGAAATATTATTTGAATGTTTCCATTTATTTTTAAAATAAACATAATATTTTCAGCTGCATTTTTTGCAAATTCCACGTGAACTCCAAATCTGCACCACATTTTAATGTTGCGAGTTTTGATATCAATAGGAATTAGGTAATTAGACACAATCATTGTTGCGTGTTTAGTCCACATTATAGGTGTGACATCGTAGTGTCTCCATACCATATTGTGCTCATCCAATTCCGTACTTCGCAATGGCATATTTGACAATGCCGTGCATAAATCACATCTTATAAAAATGTTAAAGGTTGCTTTTAATCATAAATCATGTAAATGCAAACATTTAACTTTTGAAAAAGATGGTCGGGCGCGTATTATCTGGAAATACGGAGCACCTACCCAACTACATTTCAAACAATATAAATTAATGAAGAAGTTTTGATAATCATAAAAATATTGGGAATTAGAAAATGTATAAATGTTATTTGCGGTAACACACATTATATTTTATGGCTGTATTACATATTATTATAATAATAAATATGAAGATTGTTCGCCTTTAGAATTAAATTCCGCGATATAAAATAGCTTTGGGATATTTGATACATAAATAGTATATTAATTTCTATGTCTTATGTAATTGCATATTTTACTCTTTTTTATTAATAAACATTTATTATTTACTTACGTAGTTTTTTCTTTCACGCCGAAAATTCTAAAGGCTTTATCAGCAGTACCTCGACATTTTATATTTAAAGTGTAATTTCCTGGTGATAACTCATCCACAAAGAAAATATAAATTAAATCTTTTTCAGTATTATATGTCGGTTTATAAACGATATCTGTATGATTCTCATATCTTTCAAAATTTGTAATTATGACTATATTTTTAATACATAAGTTTTCTGAATGTAAATATATGTGTTGCGTTTTGTTAAGAATGTTTATGCTAATATTGTATTCCGCATAAAAACTATTTTTTTTCATATATGATGTAAGTTTGATATCGTAATGCGTTGGTATTACATATTTTGATTTTTGATAGCATAAAGATTCAATAGGAGTAGAAGCCGTTGCAGCAATAAAAATTAATCCGCTACTTAATAATAGTTTTAGAAATATTATCATGTTGGAGAAAAGGAATATTTGTTTTAGATCTGTAAAAAACTGCGGACAAAAGATAAATAAAGAAATTAAATATAGCTTAGATGTCTTTTAAATGATTCTTGTATATAAACAAAAAATAAATGCAAAAAGTATTAAAATTATGAATTTGGAAACCATCCTAATTATCGAAATTTTATATGGTGAGGAAGCACTGAAATACATACATACATACATATATATATATATAATTTTATTTTATAAAATTATATACACTGGTCATAAATATTATCGCAACACGCGATTAACAGAAAAATTTGGCGTAAATTCAAAGAAGCGTACCTCTGCGAAAAATTATCGTATTTGAAAAAATTATTAATTGTTTTAAATAAGGGTGAAGCTACTTTAAAAAATTTATGTTTGATTTTAATTTTATCCTCTCTCTCTCTCTCTCATTCCCTTCAAAAGTAAGGTGTTTATTTTTTTCAAAATATTGCAAAATTTTACGAACTTTACGGGGTAAAAGATATCTTTTTTCGCAAATTTTATTCCAAAGTTTCGTAAAATATGAACCTTTTCCTACAAATTAGAAAAAATCAAAGTTTGTACGATTGTTTTCGTACGATCTTTTTTCTCTCTTAATGTATGGAAAAATGTATGAATCATACATTTTTCTATACATTAGTTGAGAAAAATGTCAAACTCACGATCTTAAACCACGTTCACATAAACGTCTTCTAATTGTTTGATCACTGATTCTGTGAAGGAGATTTACATTAGCAATTTGTCGTGCAATCATCGTGCGCGTCGGGTATCGCTAATACTGGTGGTAAATGAAAAAATGTATGGGTAAATTTTATATGTAATAACTGTGCAAAAAAAAATCGTACAAACTTTGCTTTTTTTAATTTGTAGATAAAAGTCCATATTTCATGAAAATTTGTGTGGATAAGATTTGCGAGAAAAATTTATTTTATCCCATAAATTTTGTCAAATTTTGTAATTTTTTGAAAAAAACACCTTACTTTTTGATGGGGTAGAGAGTGGGGAGAGGATGAAATCAAAATTGAACAAAAGTTTTTTTAACTAAAGACGTCACCCTCTATGGTAAAACAAAATAAAATTTTTTCAAAGACGATAGTTTTTTGCGAAAATACGTTTATTTGGATTTATGCGAAATTTGTCTGTTAATTAGAAATATTATTAGAAATATTAAATTTACAGTATATTTTATATTTTACTTAAATAATTAATCTCATTGTCAGATAATTATGTGCATTTAAAATTTAAGAATATTATTTAAATTTAAATATTTATATAGTATATAAAGTTAGTTTTCTGAAGTAAATTACTTTTATGAACGCAAGAGCCTTTATTTCTACACACACATATATACTTGTGTGTACATTCAAAATAAGAAGACAGTAGAGATAAGAAAAACTGAGGAGCAGCGAGAGATGGAGAGAGAGAGAGAGAGAAAGAGATAGATAGAGCACATGTTTATATTATGATGTTCCTTTGAAAATCTGTTTGATTTCTTCTCTTAAACTGTGTATTATAAACACTAAATGAATAACATTTACTGAGAATTAATCCAACATAAATTCAATTTTAAATTGTATCAATTATTAACCTGATAATAATAATTATATACATATATACAAAATGTCTCTGAACTAGCAGTAAACCTTTTAAAAGCAGATATCTGAGATCATTTGGAGACGATTCTTTTTAAGCAAAAATGTCGAAGTATCAATAAATTTTGAGTTATAAGCGATTGAAAATAAATGGATTTTAGCAAATCAAGCTTTTTGGAAAATAAAATATTAACGAAATCACATTGTCAATGAATTTCAAATGGAGTTTACTCTTTGGGCGAGCGTGTGTAGCTTAGTTCGTTAATTATTGCTCTATCAATATCGCGAATCGGGAGAGGATCGTTAAGACGGAATAGTTAATAGGTGTTATAATTATATTGTCTTTTACTGCGTTTATTCGGATTATTAAATACAGACTTTTACTCTCCACCGAGGAAAACCGTGTATCGCGAGCGCGAGTCAAAATCTATCTGCCCTTCGAGGCCGCGTATCGTCTTGCTTCTCTCGATTTTTCCACGACCTTATTTTTATTTTTAGGTGATTAGTCTATCTATTATTTTGAAGACTTTCGCTTTTTATTCTATTCGGAAATCATAATCTACCTTCGTCATGCTAGACGCTTATTTATTTATTTATTATTTTGTGTCACCGGTCGCGATATCCTTAACACTCGTTGCTTGTCATATATTTTTATTTCGTGTACATTTTTTATTTTTTATATATTTTAATATTCTTGTGGCATTTATCGCCACAACTCTTATTAGAATTGTAATTTAAGGTTTAATCATACAAAGATACATATTGACAAATTTGAGAACATGCAAATAATGATAGTCTCCCTTAGCATTTTCGCGGAGTAAAAATTGACTCCAAATGATATCAAAAATCTACTATTAACAGGTTTACTACTATTTCTGGAACATTCTGTATATAATGGGGTATTTTTCAGATATTTCAGATTAAACACTTAAAAAAAATAGATACGTTAACGACTACTTCAAATCTAGAATATTATGAATTTCTACATTCGATTGACAATTAGTACGTTCTATCATTTTACTCTATAATTTTTAATTAATAAATAATTATTGTAATTTTAAATTAACACGATTCAACGTCTTATCATAATTTTTCTTTGTGATTAAGTATTAAAGCAATAATCTTTATCAATAGTTATTCTATCATAGCTTTGTAATTAAAATAATATTTTTCTTTATATATTTTCACTATTAATATACATGTAACAATATTGTTTTTGGTTGTAAAGGTAAAAATTAAATTTTAATCATTTAATTTACATATCTGAAAACGTTTTAGCTTTAATGGAGTATCTTATTAAATTTATATGAACTATTGCTTGTGCGTTTTTAATTTAATGTTAATATGCGATTTGAACGTTTTATATCGAATATTTTATATAAAAAATTGTACGTAAAATATTTAGTATTCTGTCTATTTCTAACTTTATATTGTTAGATGATTAATATAATTCTATTTATTTTAAGTGTTATATTTATATTTATTTCTCACTTAATAAAATTAATTTGTTTACACTTTTGATAATACATCGGTCTTATAAGGTAATATGTCCAATACAAATTCAAAGCAATTGTCCTATTTTTTTATTTTTCTTAATTATATACCTACATTATTTTTTATTTCAAAGTTAATATTTGATTCTTTTCTCTTGTTACAGTTTTTTTTTCTACTCAATGTCAGCACAACTTATAAATTATTTTAAATATTAAAATATGCATAGATATCTCTTTATAAAATAATATGTACGACAAATAGAAAATAGAATTGTAATAATCTAGTAATAATAGGACAATTAAAAGTGTCTACTAAATATGAATTATCTGTTATATAAATTATAATATATATAAATTTCAGAAATAATTTATTTTATGTCAAACTTTTTGGGGTAAGCGATTATTTCAACATTACAATTCATAAAATATTATAATATCGTTATTATTTGAAATTATCTCTGGATTAAACTGTTTGATTAAATTTTTTTGTATTTGTAGACGAATACAGTTTTTATAATTTAAATTTATTGACTTACCCAATATTTCGGAGCAGTATCTTTATTGGAAAATTATATTGAAAAAATTATATTTTTTTCTGAATTAACAGCAGTAAATTAATGCTTTAGCAATATGCGCAATGTAAAGGGATCTAATATTCACACACACTTTATTACAATCAATGTGTCTACCACGATATGGTTCGAAAGACCACGAAAGGCCGACTGATTCTCTGTACGTGTCATCGTGCGATAAATATGATACGTTAGGACAACTAAACTTCTGAGGTCGCTATATGTGTGTGTTTGTGTTTG